AAAACGCCCCAAAAACGCCTCTTCCCATTTAATCAATGGAAAATGCCTTTAAAAACACCCATGAGAAGTGGTTTTGGTGCAGTTTTTAAGTCACGTGTCCTTTTTAAGAAAAAAAAAAAAACGGCGGCAGATCAGTATGAGAGTGGCCTAACTTCCATGTTTTTCAGTACTGCTATGATATGTGTTTTTCTTCGGACACCCGCACTTTTACTATTGTTATCTCAACATCTTACTTTTTGTACAGTTGGCACTACAAGTATTTTACAAGAGGTTTGTATAATCAGGGATGTTGAATTCCTATCGCCCGACGCCCGGGACATGTAGTTCCGGGAGCCAGGCAGGTAGTTTTTTTTTTTCCTTTAGCCCTGCTGCGGGCAAGCAGCGGGCTCACCTGTCAGGTGAAGTAATCGGAGGCAGAGCTGCCGTTGATTGCTATCACACTGTGCCAGCCTCTCCACCCCACCCATGAGGTTTCCTGGGCTCTGCTTGCCCATCTGTGGGTCTGGCTCGCCGTCGGCTAGAGGGGAGGGAGAAGAGTGGACAAGTCGGCTCCCCTCCCCTTCTTGTGCTGATTCGGAAGTTACGTTATGATGTCCCTTTCGGGTCCCCGATGAGAGATTGCAATACAATCCCTGGGAAAGAATGTAATATGGTACAATGTGCATCACATTACATTCAGTGGAGCAGAGGGGGGAGACATGCAAGGTATTTTATACCTTGGATGTCTCAAAGAGAACTTGTCACCAAAAATCATCACATAGGGGACTTTGTCCCCTATGTGATGGGGAAAAAAAAAGTTTTTTTTTTAGTTGTAAAAAATGAAAGTTACACCCAAGCACATACCATCCCCCCCCCCCCCCCCCCAAAAAAATACTGAGGCCCCAACCCCCACATATACATACATAGAAACGTAAAAGCACATGCTGGGGTGCCTACGCATGAAACCGTCGATTGCGATGCTCATGTCGCATATCGCCTTGCACGCCCAGGATGAGAGTGATAATTCTAGCACCAGACCTCCTCCGTACACTATACTGGTGACCTATAAGGAGCTTTAAAAGTGTCAACCTATAGAAAATATAGGGTGCTGAAGTTCATTGCCATTTCACGAGCGCGCACAAATTTAAGGTTTGATATCGGTTTACTCGCTGCAACCTCATCTTTTATATTTTACAAAAAATAGGGTAATTTTTTTTTTTTTTGCCCTAAAATTAACTTGTATTTTTTTACTAAAATTTTGTGGTAAAATCATGCAACATAAAAAATTGGAACTACCACTGTTTTATTCTCTAGGGTCTCTGCTTTCAGAAAATATATCATGTTTGGGGGGTTAATGTAATCTTCAGACCTAAAATTATTTTTAAAAAAAGCGCAAAAACTACTCTGGCAGTGAAAGGGATAAAGTTTAAGCCCCAACCCCCCCTTTTTCATGAGGAGCAGCAAATTAGTGATCACTACACTGCAAGGTCTCTCCTTCCTGCTAGCCCCCGGGTGTGGTGCTGGAGACAGGCAGGGAGGGGAGGAGGTGATAAACGGCACAATGTTCAAAATATTACACATTTTAAGTCGCAATAAAGCCCCTTTTGTTTTTGAAAGCCCCAGACATTCCTAAAATCACCTCCAATTTAAATATGGTTTTGGTTAAAAAAAAAAAAAAAAAAATTTACCGGGACAAGTAGATTGGGGCCCCAAGTTAGTCCCTCGACAATTTTTAGTTTTTTTTATTAATTTCCACACCCCTGCATAATATTTGAATCCCTTCCTGTATGTGTGTGTATGTATATGTGTATAGTGTGTGTGTGTGTATGTATGTATGTGTATGTATGTGTGTGTGTGTGTGTGTGTGTGTGTGTGTGTATATATATATATATATATATATATATATATATATATATATATATATATTATTTACACCCTATACATATACAGTTAGGTCCATATATATTTGGACACAGGCACAATTTTAGTGTTTTTCTGGTATTTACCAAAACATATTTAAGCTATAGTTCTTTAATGGATATGGGCTGAAAGTGCACACTCTCAGGTTTAGTTTGAAGGTATGCACATCCAAATTGGAGGAAGGGTTTATGAATTACACCCCAAGAGTAGCCATCCCCTCTTTTTCAAGGGACCAAAAGTAATTGGATAATTAAATCAAAAGCTGTTTCATGGCCAGGTGTGGGCTACTCCTTCATTATTTCTTTCAAAATTAAGCAGGTAAAAGGTCTGGAGTTGATTCTAAGTGTGGTATTTGCATTTGGAATCTATTGCATCATGCATTCAAAAGGAGCTGACCATGCAAGTGAAACAGGCGATTGTAAGACTTCAATAACAAAACAAATCCATCAGAGAGATAGCAGCAACATTAGGAGTGGCCAGATCAACAGTTTTGTACATTCTGGGGAAAGAAGAACACACTGGTGAGTTCAACATAAAAAGGTTATGGGCATCCACGGATGACAACAGTGGTGGATGATTGCAGGATCCTCTATGGTAAAGAAAACCCATTCACAACATCCAGACAAGTGAAGGACACTCTCCAGGAGGTGGGCATATCATTGTCAAAGTCTACAATCAAGAGAAGACTTCATGAGAGCAAATACAAAGGATTCACCACAAGATGCAAACCATTCATAAGCCTGAAGAACAGAAAAGCCAGATTAGACTTTGCCAAAAATTATCTAAAAAAAAACCAGACCAGTTCTGGAAAAGCATTCTTTGGACGGATTAAACTTAAATTAATCTGTACCAGAATGACAGGATGAAAAAAGTGTGAAGAAGGCTTGGAACAGCTCATGATACCAAAGCACACAACGTCATCTGTAAAACATGGTGGAGACAGTGTGATGGCATGGGCATACATGGCTTCCAGTGGCACTGGGTCATTGGTGTTTATTGATGATGTGACAGAAGAGAGAAGCAGCCAGATGAATTCTGCAGTGTTTAAAGATATACTGTCAGCCCAGATTCAGCCAAATGCAGCAAAGTTTATTGGATGGCACTTCACAGTACAGATGGACAATGATCCAAAACGCACTGCAAAAGCAACCCAGGAGCTTTTGAAGGAAAAGTGGAATATTCTGCAATGGCCGAGTCAATCACCTGATCTCAACCCAACTGAGCATGCATTTCCATGTTGAAGGCAAACCTAAAGGCAGAAAGACCCACAAACAAAACAACTGAAGACCGCTACAGTTAGAGCCTGGCAAAGCATCAGGAGGAAACCCAGTCTTTGGTAATGTTCATGGGTTCCAGACTTACTTCAGGCAGTCATTGCCAGTAAAGGATTATCAACAAAATATTAAAAATTAACATTTTACTTATGATTATATTCATTTGTCCAATTACATTTGGTCCCTTGCAAAATTGGGGATAGCTACTCTTAAGAGCTGTAATTCCTAAACCCTTCCTCCAATTTGGATGTACATACCATCAAATTAAACCTGAGAGTGTGCACTTTCAGCCCATATCCATTATATATAACTATAGATGGAATATGTTTTGGTAAATGCCTGAAAAAAAACGAAAATTGTCCCTGTGTCCAAAAAATAAATAAATATATATATATATATATATATATATATATATATATATATATATATATATATATATATATATATATTAGACCTAACTGTATATATGCTTTTCAGGAAAATTTATTCTTGTATCCTATTCAGGACTACTCTATTGCCCTTGGTAGAATTAGTTTATGTTGCTTTTTTAACACTCCTTCAGTGGCAGGAAATACCGGGTATAATCAGTCTTCTTTGATACTTACACCTTGCTTAATCAGTGCCATATGGTTGCAAAATAGCCAAACTCTCTTTATATCAATAGAATCCTAGTTGTTTTATTTGTGCTTTCATATATGGCAAGTATAATATGATGTATGTGACCTGGTGAATTTTCACAGTAGGCTTCTAATGACCTCAGCCTCTATAATTTTTTTTTTTTTTTTTGTATTACCATTGGCTTTGTTGTAGACTTCATTCATGTGCATGACAACTGGCTTTGTTAGTTTAATCTGTTGAAGTGACATTGAGATAATCTTTCAAATGGCTTATCAAGCGTTTTCTACATTTCCAAAAACTCAAGCTTGTTGTATTAAGTTATTGTCAGATTGATCTCCTCCCTTGTATCTAATGCACGTCTACCTTTTTTTGCTAGAGGATTTTTTAGTATCAATTTATCATTCCCAATCTATATGTGTGCAGTCATTTTTGTTGCCAAGGGAAACCATTAGCAGCTTTAATGACTGTCACAGGGCGGGACTCGGCATACGTAGAACACAGCATGCATTCTCTGTGGAAAAGGCCCGATCCTGTGATTTCCTGCAAGAGCCTGCAATAATTGCACCATCTAGATCAACAGGTCTCAGGGGTTACTCCATTTCTGTAAGTCACCCTGTATAGCTTTCAGTGTGATTTATTGCAGATAAGCAACATCAAGAGACAGGTTTGTACTTTACTTATTTCAGCTTATTGTATTGAAGCAGATTAGAGTGATGTATAGTTTCCATTGTAAACTTTAAAGGCTAAAACAACCCAAACTTGGTTTCAGTTTTGTTTTGTTGTTGGTCGATTAATTTACTAACTATGGACTTCTTGGGGACTTAGCAATGAAGTCATCATGTTGAGAATTGCAAAACCGAATATTGTGTCTTACAGCTCCAGCTACTTTATTATGTAAATGAGATCAAGGATAAAATGCCATCAGTGAGACCCACATAATATGATTGCAATATCAGTATTAGAGCTAGAAACTAGTGCAAAGCTAACACTGCTCTCAGAGTCAAAGATTACATGAAGCCTGTAGGTGCTTAAACCACATTTTGGATGGACATATCTTTTATCACAGGAAACATGGAGGCACTAATGCTGATCCAGAATGATGGTTTTAAAATACAGTGTCTTGTCTACAAGAAGGGGTGACGTTGGTCCAGTAATCATCTATTTCTTCTGCAGGTGTTCTTGTGGAAAGCTCACATACACAGCTCCACCATGGATTTTCTTGATCGAAATATCAACTTCAAAGCTCTTCTCAAGTTCTCAAATATGTAAGTGATATTTTATTATGAATAACCTTTCAAGGGAATATTTGTTGGGTTTTCTTTGTTGGGCTTCCTATATATTTAGCATCTTTTGAAACTTTACCACTTCCCACATGTAGTATGTCATATGGTATCCTCGGGTTGAAGTGGATATACTGGGATGATGCCTGCAGGTATCAAAATTTGCAGCTGTCAATTCCCTCTTCAGCAGAAGTGATTCAAGTGGCTGAATAGCCACTCGATCACTTCTGCGGGTAGTGAAAGGGTATTTTACATTAGGTATTGTATAGTGTTTGTGTGCAATAAAAATTCACTAAAGTGTTTTTTTTTTTTTTTTTTTTTAATTGCATTTTAAGAAAATGCTGTACAGTTACTGTTTGACATAAATTCCAACCCCCACCATTTTATTCTGTAGGGCATATATATATAATACAGGATTTATATAGCGCCAACCATTTGCTGAGCACTTTACAATATAACGGAAGACAACACAGCAACAATATAGTTCCATAGAAGAGGGTTAGGAGGGCCCTGCTCCTTGCAGATTACAATCTAAGAGGGAATATATATGTATGTATGTATGTAGTATTTTTCTGGCAAAAAAAGTAGATTTTTTTTTTTTTTTTTCTATGTAGGAGAGAAATGTCCAAATTGACCCGGTAGAGAAGTTGTTAAAAAAAACCTATTTGTTAAACCTTTTGCTTGTTACTTTTCATAGTCTATGGCAAAGCCCATAATGGTCCTTTTGAAATGGTAACTGTTTAGTGTTACTGAATTATTTCTACAAGACAGAGCCTTTGCTGACTATTTTATATTGCATGAAGTGATCGTTTATTTAAAAAATTCAGATCAAATATTGTTTTGACAGGCAAAGTATTTCAAAATAAATTCTGTATTCCCAGCTGTTATCGGGATCTTGTGACATGTCATTTGGTTCTAAATAGTTTGTATTTTCTGGGAATATTTACCAATTTTCTTTTTCGAGTTTGAGAATACTTTCTCTAAGCTGAATGTTTGTAATAACCTCAATATTATGACCGCTTTGATACTATATGGCAAGGCAGGGTATCTGTGGCTATGTTTTCTACTCAAATACTCTGACAAACAGTCCATGGCAACAAGCACTATTTGAATATGACAAAACTGCACTTAATGATTAATATGTTTTTATGACTTAATGATTAGTATGCTGTCAATTCAGAGCGCTGTGCCACAGCTATTGTTCCTGTGTGCTGAAGTGACGTCATCGAAACTCAGCCATTCAAACAGCCTGAGCCTGGAAGACCAAGTGAAGATGGAAGCCCTGTCAGTGATGACCGTATGCCGCTGGAGGACTTAGTTTTAAAGAGTCTGCCATAATGTACTAATATGGTGCAAACTATGCACATTATGTCTTAAATCACCTGGGGGCCATTTTTTTGTTTTGTTTGTTATATTCAAAAAGTGTACTACTGCTTTAAGATTGGCAGGCATTGAATTGTCACAATTTATAGGACGATCTGATAGGTGTGTATGTCTATGTATGTATTTTTTAATTCACACAGGTGTTCACTGCATTCACAGTGAAATACAGAAATTTTTATCTTAAGGCTCCATGCACACTGGGTTTTAATAACACTGGTAACATTAGCTGAGTAAAGTCATGTTAAAAACGTGTAGGTTTATTTGCGGTTTTACATTCACGTTTTTTGTGGGGGTTTTTTTCTCCAAAAAAAATATAATATTTTTTGCAAAAAAAAAAAAAAAAAAAAACCTCCAAAAACTCTGGTTTGGCGTGTTTTTCAGCGTTAGAACGTTTTTACAGCTAAAAAACAACTCTAGAAACTCGCTAGTTCTGGGGACTTTTTCCAGCCAAAAAACGCTGATCACAGTCTGTGCATGGACACCTACGTTATTTGGGGAGATTACTGGCTGTAGAAAATAATGTCAAAAGCCAAAAAAAGCAGCTGTAAAAACGTTCAGTGTGCACGAGGACTAAAAATTGTCCACTAGCTCTTATGAGTGTTCCATATGCTTTGTTAATCTGTACTAAAATGTACTAAGTATTTTTTGCTTTGTTTTTTTCTCCCCACAGTACAATAGCTGTGTAACTAATGAAAGGTGGCACTGAATAAACCTAGTGTTAGTTAAAAAATTATTTTGTTGCTTTCTCTTTCGTTTCAGTGAAGTGAGCTGGTAAAATGCATAACATTTAACACATTGTATATGTTTTGTATTTCAGCTCTCCCAGCACACGGCAGCACTTAAAACATGTGTATGCCAGCTTCGCTCTCTGTTTGCTGGTTGCAGCTGCTGGTGCTTATGTCAATGTGGTCTTCAGGTTCCTCCAGGTGAGTGATTTCATGGTTAAACACAATTCTTGTTTTGTAAAAAAAAAAAAAAAAAATACATAATTTTCTGCAGGGTGGATTTGATTTAAATCAAACTGATTTAAATCACTAGTCAGTAAGGCTTGATTTAAATCCTAGTTTTCTACATAAAGACTAATTCTTGCTGGTATAACTTTAATATGCAAGTAGATGAAGATTTTTAGAATAACTTTTCATATTAGTTTTTTTTATCCCCAGTTTAATAGGTTAATCATTCATATTTGGACAACTTTTCTGTTGTACTTGGAAGGAGAAAAAATAATCATTACCTTAATAACAATTTAAATAGATTTATTCAACTGAAACAATAACATTCCAGCATATGGTATTTGCTTAAACAAACATCCATGTTTGTTAACTAATTTGGCTAAACAAAATATATATATTTTAAGAAACTTCGACTGTCAGCCCCTTCCTCCTCACACTTAGTTTCACTTTCTTCTTGTGCAGATCTATTCCACTCCAAACAATCAGAAAAATATTGATTCTATTCTATTCACTGAACTTCTTGAAACTTAGCACTGAAGGGGTTGATTCTGTATTCATAGGTTTGTAGAAGTTAGGATTAAGGTCTTTTTCTTAACTCTGTTCATGTTATAACATTTTTGCTGTGAAGAAGAGGCATGTGATCTCTGCTGAGTCAAATTCAGTTTTGAGAACTGCAAAAGTAAATCAAGCATCTGTGATAATATCTTGTAGGCAGAGAAACTGCCCAATAATCTTACAAAAACCTCTGGAAGAGCATGACATTGTGAATGGATTAATAGAATTTGACCAAAAAAATTAAACATATACAGCCTTATTCTACATAATTAAAAAACTAATCTTTATTTCATGATGGAATAACCTTTGGATGGTAATATATTTTCCTCAAAAAGCATTTTATTTTAAAAAATCCGATTTTTAAATAAAAAAAAATCCGTGTTTTTTTTTTTTTTTTTTTTTTTTTATCATTTTGGTTTTTATCCACCCTGATTTTCTGGGTACTTGATGTCTTCACCTACATACCAAAAATATTCTAGACCATACAGACTTGTTTAGCCCTGTTCTATATAAGGACTAGGACCGTATGGATAAACTCCAAAGCCATGAGTGCAAGACTGCTGGTAGAAATTTTGAATGCTTTTTGGCAGTGTGATATTGCCATTCGTTTTTATGTAAAATATAGTGACAGATTTAAAAAAACAGGTGAAAGAATTGTCTGTTGCCAACAGCATCCATGCATATTCTGGCTTTAATTGTGTATCCCAGTGGGAATGTTCTTGAGTGTAGGGAAAAGTCATGTTATGTGACCTGACAGGCTTTATTATTTGTGTGCAACTCTGATTTTCTCAAATATTAGAATATAAACTTTTTTTTTTTTCTTTTGGGGGTTGTTAACATTACTGATGTATTCTTGCTGTTTATCTATACAGGGCAGCTTCCTGTCATTTGCAGGCTCATTGGGCATGATGTTATGGCTGATGTTCACCCCTCACAGTAGAGAGAATGAGAAGAAACGTCTAGGAATCTTAGCTGGATTTGCATTTTTCTCTGGTAAGCATTCTGTAGTGTATTTCCTGTTTAAACTTCAATACATTTATTATCTTTTTATATATGACAAACATGTATATGGCGCTGACCATTTATGCAGTACTTTACATGTTTTGCATTCACATCGGTCCCTGCCTTCAAGGAGCTTTGCACTGGTCTCTATATAATATGCAGACATACACACAAACGCATACTAGGAACAATTTAAACAGGAGCCAATTAACCTACCAGCATGTTTTTGTGGGAGGAAACTGGGTTACCTGGAGGCAATCTTACAGCACAGGGAGAGCATGAAGTCTTCATGCAGATAGTGTCCTGGCTTGGATCTCAACTGAGCACTCCACTTTTTTTTAAGTCAGAAGTGGCCTTCTTATATACGTTCTTATATAACTTTCTTATAAAATATAATATTTATATTTACCACCTTAGGATTTCTTCATCTGCTGATGACTCTTGTGAATTTAAATAAGTTGGTTTTGACCAAGCTGGCCCATACAATCTATTTGCTTCACTTACAGATGCAACCACTAAGAACGTGATTTAAATTGTATGAGCATCAGCTACGTACAGTATATGGTGTTGTGTTCTGCAGCAGGATTGAGATTTCCGGAACAGAATCAAGTTGGGATGAGCGCTGCTCAGCCCTTCACGGGAATCGTATTTTCATCAATGAATACAGGGCTTCCTCTGATTGGCTGAGGTGGAGATCATGACATCATCTGCCTGCCTCTCGACCTCCGCTAATCAGATGAAGCCTTTAATTCATTGAAGAAATGAAATGAATCCTGTAAATGGCTAAGCAGCGCTCAGCCCGAATCTATTTTGTTTCAGAAGCGGGATGGGAGGTCCCCATCTTGATGTTGGAACACAGTGCTATATACTTTGTACACATAAAGTTTATACAGCACTGATACTACATACACTTTATACTGTGCTCCTTGTAGGTGCATCTCTTAGAGAAACAAATTGTTTTGACTACTTTGGTCCAAATAAACTATTTAAAATACCTGTTAGAGGAAGGTGGTGCCCCGAGGTCTTCCAGTGGCTGTCATGTCAGCTGTCTGAACCCATGCTAATTTAAAACGAGCAGTACTCCAGCCCCTCAAGTAATCGTATACATGCACCTTGGGTTCCTGCTCTTTACAGGGCTTTAAGTGGTGCACACTTGGTGTAATGCACACTTGGGAGCTAGCGTGTGTTAAAGCACAACTAAAGTCTGCAAATAGCAAATACTTCTAACCCAGCCTGCGAGGTCCCTTGCTGGCGTTGACCCCCCCCCCCCCCCCAAACTTTTTTCTGGATGCTGGATCTTTGACTATCCTAATTGACTGTTGTGGATTATGTAACTTTCTCACATGAGCAATAGTTTAGCCAGGCACCATGCAAAATATGTAAATTGAGCTGCATATATTTAGCTGAGTATACATTCTAAGACTGTGAACAGGTAGGTTCGTTGTCTTTTATTGCAGACAAGACCTAGCATAAGTTGTTACCTTTTACTTACACTTTAACAGTGCAAGGTTTGAAAGTTGGCAGAGCATCAACAACTTTTATTAACCTCTGCCTTGATCCTAGAGTCATCCTTGGACCAGAAAAACAAAATATACAATTTTTAAGTTGAGTTTGCACCTTTATAAATTCAGGACAGAGTATTCATAACCAGGACAGCTCTCTTTAATAAAAATATTGCATTTGTAAAGAATTTCCTTATATTAAATGTATTTCTGCCTTATCCTTCCAGGCATTGGTTTGGGTCCTGCTTTGAATCTTTGCTTGGCTATTGATCCCAGGTAATTGTATACACAATTGTTTATTGATATAAATATGCATTGAACAGTTTTGACACAAATATTGCTGAGTCCATTAGCCTTATTAATAGGCACTATGCTCTGTTGTAAAACTGGAGAAACCAAAAAAGATCTACATTGCCATTAGCAAGCTGGTTTCTAGTATTTATTCTTCTGATTTTAGGTTTGTTTGTGTAGGGAGGTTTCTGGTTGTTGGTGGCGATACCAATTTTTATAAATTAACCTTATTAAAAACAAAAAACACAAGACCTGTACAGTTATAATAATTTCACATATCCTGGTTGTGCTGGGAGATTTTAGAGAACATGTAGGGAAATCCATGTATGAGCAGAGCACAGACTAGAAAGATTTTACAATACAAATTTGTTTTAGGAGATATTATTAAGTAGTAGCTTTATACTTCACTTGCTCTGTGTGGGTATGTTATTAAAACCTTAAGGCTCTGAGGCCAGAGTGCACAAATGCTAGGGAAGGATTTTCTTAATCATTGAATTTTCCTAAGTGTTACTAAACCCAGGACCCTACATTCAATATATGTCTCCCACAGTACACAGAACATGGAAATGCAATTATTTTAGTAAATATTATCCGCTAAATACCTTTTTCTCAGCAGCATTTAGAGCAATCTTGTGACTTCTATCGGTGTTCAGCAGAGCAGTGATTAAAGCTTGTAGGAGTTTTTTTTCTGCTCAAGAGGATGCAGAACCCTTGACCCTCTGTCTGGACAGTGCTGATTGGTCCTGTGCTGATCCCTCCTCGCTAGCAATACACACCAAACTGAGCAGGTGCAAAGTGTCTCCACATGATATGTCTTATCAGGAGATAAGAGGGGGGCACTGTAAGAAGGGGGGGGATCAGAGAAGTCAGGATCAAACAGCGGTTTACATAATGCAGAGGATTAACCCCTTTAGGTTCCACAGTGAGTATAGTGAGCATGCTTTACTGCATATACAGACTGATTTTATGGCTGTGGGTTAAGTAACACTTTAAGCCTTTCAGATTCTACAACAGAACGTGCATAGTGAGAAGGCCATTGTATGCTATGTTGACTCTAATTTATTATATAATTAGAGTGGCACTTTTGGTTTGTTTTTTTTTTTTTTTTTTTTTTTTTTTAATTTCAAACATAAGAAAAAACTGAGACTACATATGAAGGATGCAAACAATTGAACAGAGAGGGTGAAAGTTAAATCTTGGTTTGACCATCAGCATCACAGATAATCTAATATTTCAAATTGCATATTTCTACAGTGGGGATCGAAAGTTTGGGCACCCCAGCTAAAAATTTGTATTAATGTGCATAAAGAAGCCAAGGAAAGATGGGAAAAATCTCCAACAGGCATCAAATTACAGATTAGACATTCTTATAATATATGTCAACAAAAGTTAGATTTTATTTCCATCATTTACACTTTCAAAATAACAGAAAACAAAAAACTGGCGTCTGCAAAAGTTTGGGCACCCTGCAGAATTTATAGCATGCACTGCCCCCTTTGCCAAGCTGAGACCTGCCAGTGTCATGGATTGTTCTCAATCATCGTCTGGGAAGACCAGGTGATGTCAATCTCAAAGGTTTTAAATTCCCAGACTCATCTGACCTTGTCCCAACAATCAGCACCATGGGTTCTTCTAAGCAGTTGTCTAGAAAACTGAAACTGAAAATAGTTGACGCTCACAAAGCTGGAGAAGGCTATAAGAAGATAGCAAAGCGTTTTCAGATGTCAATATCCTCTGTTCGGAATGTAATTAAGAAATGGCAGTCATCAGGAACAGTGGAAGTTAAAGCAAGATCTGGAAGACCAAGAAAAATATCAGACAGAACAGCTCGCAGGATTGTGAGAAAAACAATTCAAAACCCACTTTTGACTGCACGATCCCTCCAGAAAGATCTGGCAGACACTGGAGTTGTGGTACACTATTCCACTATAAAGAGATACTTGTACAAATATGGTCTTCATGGAAGAGTCATCAGAGGAAAACCTCTTCTACGTCCTCACCACAAAAATCATCGTTTGAACTTTGCAAATGAACATATAGACAAGTCTGATGCATTTTGGAAACAAGTTCTGTGGACCGATGAGGTTAAAATTGAACTTTTTGGCCAGAATGAGCAAAGGTACATTTGGAGAAGAAGGGGCACAGAATTTAATGAAAAGAACCTCTGTCCAACTGTTAAGCATGGGGTTGGATCAATCATGCTTTGGGGTTGTGTTGCAGCCAGTGGCACAGGGAACATCTCACGAGTAGAAGGAAAAATGGATTCAATAAAATTTCAGCAAATTTTGGATGGTAACTTGATGCCATCTGTGAAAAAGCTGATGTTAAAGAGAGGATGGCTTCTACAAATGGATAATGATCCTAAACGCACCTCGAAATCCACGGGGGATTACATCAAGAGGCGTAAACTGAAGGTTTTGCCATGGCCTTCACAATCTCCTGACCTCAACATAATTGAAAATCTATGGATAGACCTTAAAAGAGCAGTGCGTGATAGACAGCCCATGAATCTCAAAGAACTGGAAGACTTTTGTAAGGAAGAATGGGCAAAGATACCTCAAACAAGAATTGAAAACTCTTGGCTGGCTACAAAAAGTGTTTACAAGCTGTGATACTTGCCAAAGGGGGCAGTACAAGATATTAACGCTGCAGGGTGCCCAAACTTTTGCAGACGCCATTTTTTTGTTTTCTGTTATTTTGAAAGTGTAAATGATGGAAATAAAATCTAACTTTTGTTGACATATTATAAGAATGTCTAATCTGTAATTTGATGCCTTTTGGAGATTTTTTCCATCTTTCCTTGGCTTCTTTATGCACATTAATACAAATTTTTAGCTGGGGTGCCAAAACTTTCGATCCCCACTGTACGTATTCATAGCTGAGAGTCAGTTTGAACTTCATCTAATGAGACTTTTTCTTAATCTAGCATCATTCCAACTGCTTTCCTGGCCACTGCAGTGATCTTCACCTGCTTCTCACTTAGTGCTCTATATGCACAAAGGCGCACTTACCTGTACTTGGGAGGTAAGTGTCGCCCTGTTTCATGTCACTATGTGTTCTGTGCTGCATGAATTGTCTTCCCAAAGTGAATGTGTTTCTTACACAGGTGTGCTAATGTCTGCTCTGAGCCTCCTTTGTCTGTCTGGATTGATCAATATCTTCATTGGATCCACCGTCCTTTTAAAAGTGAGTTTATACAATGTTCTAAGAATATAAAAGTTTGCTTTCTAGGTTAAGGCTTAATTCATACTAGTGCAATTTTATTGCTTGACAGTGAAAATCACATTATCAATAGTGCCTATTCTCATCAATGCAAAGCGGCACAATTACATTTTGGAAGAGGCTCCTGTACTACTTTAGTGCAATTCTAGCACAATTTTTGGCCCCATAGAACATGCAGTCCACTTCATAATAGCATCCAAGTTGCACTACATAATCGCAGTGAAAGTCGGATTGCAGCAATGTAAACCTAGCCTTACTAATGTGACTAAGTCTGACTTGATCGGGTTATAGGACTATGCGGTATGTAAACATCTAGTGCAGACCTGAGTTGACTTCTCGCAGAAGCTGTTTTGTCAAAGTTGAAAAAAGAACACACCATAATAAAAGTTAGCAGAATGGCATGTTCCCTTTCACTTAGCGTTTGTGCTGTAATATTCTTGTAAGTGATCCAGTTCTGCTGCGGTTGATAACTCAAAGTATAAATTAGAACAAAGTGTGTCAACTACAGTCAACTCCTCAGAGCGCTAATACAGAGTGTTTATAGCACTCTTGCTTACACTTTAACTGAATAAAGTCTTTTTTCTTTCAAAATTAAATTTTGAGGCGTTGCACTGGAACAGTACATGCCCAGGATACACTGCAAAGTTGAAAACCCCAGTAAGAAGCATCTCGAGACTACAGGGTGGGGGAGATTGTGCACACAACATTTTTTTATGTTCTGTTGAAGAGGAAATAACCGCAACACAAATGTATTATATTGCAGCTTAATAATTCTTAGATGTGTCGGCTGAATTGGTTTTCATTTTTTAGGCTTTTTCACTATTTGCATCTGTTAATTTGGCCAGTAGGTTTTTCAACTTCCTTTAACAGACCAAGATGTGCAGCAAAACTGCTAGTTACAGGGTTAAAAAATAAAATTTAACACTACCAGGGGTCCTTACAATAGTCGACTTTTATTCATTGATGTAAACCCTTTATCCCAAAAAAAAAAAAAAAAAATGCTGTAACTACATAAAATGTGTTTTAGTTGAAAATTGGCTTTAATTATGTCTTTCTTAAGTCCATCTCACTCTGCTAGTGCATCTAATACCCTCTCCCCAGACTAACAATGAATGCTGCTTTTCAAAGGTGTCTCTGTTGCTCCTCCTTCCAGAATAAAAACCACCTATGACTAGAAGTGTTACTGACCAAATCACCAGGTGAAAATAAAGGAAAAAGTCCACAAAAAAGAAAATGTATGCATCCACTACATTTACGGATTAGTGAGCTGCAGTATATAATTCTTTTGTTTTTATGTTCAATCCCACTTTAAGTTTCTTAGCAATAGAGATTATTTTTTTTTTTTATAAATCTGCCAGTATTTAAAGGAGAAGTTCACCTTTCACGAAAAAATATGAAATGCACATATTTTTGCTGGCAAACAAAATGTACATTTATTACTTTTTTCCTGCAACAACCTGGAAAACATTGCACTCATGATCAAGTGGATCTGAGGTGCAATAGTTAGGCTTCTGCGGATAAGCCCTGCAGCCCTTCATAAGAGCTGTCTGTTGAAAGTTGCAGGGTTTGTGAATGAACTAGAGCGCGCTCATCAGTAGTACCCTCGCAGTTTATTCAGAACTACAATCTGTTAGACAGTTGATGTAATTCATTAATTCACAGGAAACTGAATGGTGTGGACCTGTGGGCAGAGCCCCATATGGCCGCTCTGGTTTTTTTTTAAATTGTGAAAGCGTGTGAGGGGAGAAGATTTTTGCCCCCCCCCCAAACTATATGTCACACCGTGGGGGGCGCAATTGGAGAAACTTGCATCAGGGCTGAAAATAGGTTACATGTCCCAAAAGGTGAACTTATTCTTTTAAAACATCTGTTTGGGTCTTCAACAGCTCTGCTTTTAAGGCAATATGTTTCTTTGTGCTATGCCTGTTAAAGTTGTTTATCTGGCACTTGTACCTTTTTTTTTTTTTTTCACGACATTACCAAAGGAAGACTTTAATGCGTTGTGCTGCGCTTTTATTAATCCAACAAGCTGGAATTCTATGACATTTCTACTGAGGCTGAATCCAGGAAGTCTCCAGATTACATTCATCAAATTCTGTTAATTGCACATCCGTTTTCAATTAGTCGGCAACAGCTCGTTATGCTGCTGCTGAGATCTTAGTTTGAAATGACATTGTTCTTGTTGTTTCCAGCCTTTGCTAATACATTTGGCACTTATTTTTCAGGTCCACATATACGTTGGTCTTCTGGTCATGTGTGGTTTTGTCTTATTTGACACTCAGCTTATCATTGAAAAAGTTGAGAATGGAGACAAGGACTATGTCTGGTAAGCATGATAACACTTTCCATATTAAACCTTTTTCTGGCTTCATCAAATCTGAGAATTGTTATTAATACCCTCATGGTAAGCATAATCAATATTGGCAGATATTGAAAGCGATTGCAAGGCATATGTTCATGATAAATAAGAGAAATATTTCATTAATATAAGATGATATATACTGGAACTCGAAAGGAGGGAGGAAAAATATCTAAAGGTTAACTATATACACATTGCAATGACTTTAGCCAAGTGCATTGCATTGGTTCTTGCCTCTATCTGTTCTGTAGATATTAGGAGAGGCTATTATGGTGTACTTGCTGAATTGTCTCGTGATCTGCATACTTGGGAGGATATGCAATTAACACATTAAAGATGAATCTTCCATTGCTGTAATCCAAAGGACATTGCCAGGGATATGTCATGGTCTATACCATGAGTTTGAGAAACCATAACCTCCCCCCAGGCCTGCACATTACTCAATCAGAATGCGTCCCTTGTACCACCGCAGAACCTGGTTTTTATCAACGGTCTCGGCATCCGATTTTAGTTCGGTTTCAGACACAGAACAAGTGCCCCACTTGACAAAAGCAGAATGTCAGAATTCCTCAGACATATATTACAGGCTTAATTCAGCCATCTTTGTCCATGTCTCAACCACCTGCTCCTATAATCAATATCTTACAGCTCAGAGTAGTCAGGTTGTCCCTCCAACACTGGACCCCCCTCCCCCCCTCTTCTAAAGGGACACCCAATTCGGGTACAGTCAGACAACGCCACCGCAGTGGCATATATCAATCATCAAGGAGCCACGGGAAGCCAGGCTGCATTGAAGGAAGAAAATAAGATTCTTTCATGCACAGTAACTCGCTGTTCAGTGATGTGATTCACATCTCCGGAGTGGAAAACTGGTAGGCAAATTTTCTCATCTGCCATCTCTTGGACTAAAGGATGTGGATCTCCTACCTCCGTTTGTGGCCAGAACCAGGGGACCTCAACCTCTGGCCTTGTATACTCTAGTTATCCCTTGGTATCACTTCAGGCCCATTTACACCTTCCCTCCACTGTGGGTTTTCTCGCTCGCCTCCCCCACAAAAAAAGAGCAAGAGAGGAAGCCTACGATTTATACTGGCCCAGAATAACCTGGTACACAGACAGACTTCTGGCATCTTTCCAACACGCCAGATCTCCTATTCAGGGCCTTTTCTTCCACCCTGTTTCAAAGTCTCCAACCTTAACGGCATGGCTGTTGAAACCCAGGTAGAGGAGTCTGATTCCTACCTTGCTATAAGCAAAAAAGGCTGCTTCTAAGAAGATTATCATTCATGGAAAGAAAAGAGTACAATGCCAGAGACTCCATCCTTGTGCATTCGGTGTTTCCTGCAAACAGACCTTGACCCGAACCCAACTCTTAACACATCATAAGGACAGTTGTTGGCCTTATAAATGCTTTTCCAAAGTACTGTAGCTTCACATTCTGAACTGAACGAACAGCCCTTTTATGTAAAGAGCCTTTTCTCATACTTCACAATTTGGTTGTCTTACCCCCAAGACCATCTCTTCCAACTGTGGCTTCAGCATTTTGTCACATTGTTCTACCATCCCTTTCCCCTGCTCAAAAGTATCCAAAGGAAGCCTCTCAATATTGTCTGGACGTAGTCGGAGCCATTTGAATATACTTGAAAACTACTGCTTTTGTTAGACAAACAGATTCCCTGTTTGCCTCTTGAGAGGTCCTCGGGACCGAACAAGGGGCACCCCCCCCCTTCAAAATCCATTATTGCATGGTGGATTAGGAACTTGAATACAAGAGCTTATGCTCTTAAACAAAAACATCCTCCTGTGCTGTTGTGCTCCCACTCCATCAGGTCTGTAGGAGCATCCTGGGATTTTGAACACCAAGCCTATTTTGCCCAACTGTATAAGGCCGCCACCTGCTCTTCTGTTAATACTTTCCAAAATTTTTACCAGGTTGGTGTCCCATCTTCTGCTGATGCTGCTATTGGCTGCAAAGTCCTTGTAGCAGTGCTCTGAAAGTGGGTCTTTGCCCTCTGTTGTTGGGCCTATTGGCACAGTTCCGTTTGCCTAAGTTGTTGCCCTACCTTTCTATTTATTGCTTGGGGATGTCCTGTGGTATATGGATTGTTACCTGTAACTTCCATGTCTTGTAGGACACAGGCCACCCTCCCTAAACTCTTACTCTGCATTGCTTGTTGAAAACAGAGGGCTTCTATTGTAGGGTAGGGGAAGCGCCCCAGGGGAGCATGCCCTTAAAAACTTTCCAGTGTTCAGTCACCTAAAGGTTACGGGTCTATAACCCATGGTATATGAATTAATTGCATGTGTACTTTACTATGTTCCAAGATGTGGAATTTACAGGCAAGTAAAAAAAAAAAACAACTAATTTTGTGTTAGTCTGGTTGCTGGAAAACAATGGCTTTTATTCATGGCAAGAAAAGGGAACTTCTTTTACACAAAATATTGTGAATTGGCAGTGCTGACTTAACTGGTGTTAATTTTGTGTAGTGTTTTTTGATTTGCAGAAAGCTGCATCCCATTATTAGGCTTACTGTATTCTTGGGCACATGGGTGTTTTTCTGTTTATGAAGCTGAAGATACAGTACTTGACTTTATTCACATGATGATGTCTTCTTTCTTCTACCAGTACAGGCAGTCTTTAAAGTATATGGTGAATGCCAGTGTACCAGGGAAGACTGTTGTTGTTAATAAAATATTATTTATTCCAGTTTAAGTTGGAAACAAGAATCCTGGCCCATGGGGCTAACAATCTAAAGTTTGTATTTTGTACTTACAGGCACTGTGTAGATCTGTTTCTGGATTTCATTGCCATCTTCAGGAAAATTATGATTATCCTGGCAATGAACGAAAAGGTATGTAGTTCTGTATGATTGACCTTTTATCAGTTTTTCTCCACTTAAATAGTTCATGTTTGCAATAGGCAGTAGTATGGAGAATTTGTAGGTGTACTGTCCTGTATTCCCTCTGTTTGCAATGGAAGGAATTTTGGAGATACACAAAATCTCAAAATGCCACCTCATTATCATCACTTTGTTTTAAATTCATATTTTTTGTACATTGAACTCTACTAAGACAATTAAAGTCCAATAAATTCAAACTTGTAAGACTCGCAAGTTGTAGTGGAAAACTAGTCTAGCTTCAACCAGCACTAGATATACAGTGACTCTGGTGTGGTAAATGTTTTGTGTGCTGACTTCCACTCTTGTCAATATAAATATAGTCAGATTACCTCTTTGCAGGAACAGTGGAAATGAAAATGACTCTTGGGTTTCCTTTTCATAAAATGTTATTGGGTTTTCAATAGAAGAGATAAAAGACCACTATATATGCCTTTTATAGCAAGCATTATGCATATTTCATTGACGTAACAGGTTCGTGTGTGTGTGTGTGTGTGTGTGTGTGTGTGTGTGTGTGTGTTTTTGGGTTTTTTTTTGTTTTTTTGTTTTTTTTTTATAAAACCGCAAAGTAATGTTTTATAGATACTATTTAGTCTAGTTTTATAAGGTTACATTTTACCAAAGTTATAAACATGGCAAAATTGTATCCCAACCTGGGACCATAACTGACAGTCTTCTTACTTGCATATCTATTTAGCTGTGATACGTTACAGCTGCCCAAGTATGAGGGGTCAGGCAAAAAAGTTGGAAGTGTATTGATGAGGAAATGAAAAGGAGTAAGACTCTGTTTACACTAGTGAGATTTCAGATGTGACTTGAGTCCCACAGAATCGCATGACAATGGAAATCATTGTTTTTCAGTTGTCCCATTCACATCAATGCAACTCAGCACAGCACAATTTTGGTAAAGTGTCCTGTACTACTTTGGTGCCATTCCAACACAATTTTGGCCCCAGAGAATATACAAACCAAATCCAAGTTGCACTACATAATCATGCTGAAAATCAGATCAAATGATTGCAGCAGTATGAACCTAGCCTAAATTGAGATGAATAGGAAAGAGTAGAAAAACCAGTAAGTGCAGTCCATGATGAAAGGCTGCCCCCTGAAGCCTAGTTTAATTTAATATTTATATAGTGCTAGGTGAGCTTTCTACACCATCAGGATGTAGATATGTAATCCATGAGTATCCTATTTTAATGCATTTCTCTTTGACATCACTCTGTCAATCGCAGCCAGTGAGTCATTGAGGAGACAGAGGGGATGGGGCTGAGCAGCAGCTGTGTATGTGATTGGACAAGTAGTGCAGCAGCTTGGGAGCGAGCCTGCTTGGGTGCCTCCATTGCAAGCTGCTTGCTCTGGGAGCACTAGGCAGGAGGGAGGGGCCAAGAGTGCCAGTGGGGGACCAGAGAGGAGAGGATCGGAGCTGCTCTGTGCAAAACCACTGCACAGGGTAGGTAAATATAATGTGTTTCTTTTTTTTTTTTTTTTTTTTTTTTTTTTTTTTATAGGGGTGTTTTTTTTTTGCCTTTTTACTATCACTTTAAGCCCTCTTGTGCCTATTCTTTTACAGGCTCTGTTCCAACGTTTCCCACACCAGGCACTTCCTATTCCACTATTCTTATGCATTTAGCTCATGGGGCACTGTATGCAATCAAGACAGGGGGGCATTAAGAAGACTTGGGGGTTTGTTTACTAAAACTGCAAATTCTGGTTCAGTTCTGCATAGAAAATAATCCGGTTCCAGGTTTTTTTTTATTTTTTTTTTTTGTTCCCATTTGGTGAGTGGTTATCTCTTTTTGAAAGATGAAGAGATGAACTGCATAATCAAGATATTCGTGTTTATCTTGTACAGCTGTGTTAATGTATACGAAGTGCCTGCTTACAGTATTATATTTTTAATATTTTCATTGTTCTTACTCTTTATGAAGCTGACATTATACAGTACTGCATTCCATAAGAAAGGGATGAAAGTGAGCCTTTCAGACAAATCTAGTATAGACCTACAAGAAGACATGAGGGCCCTGCCCAAACAATTTACCATCATGTTGGGGGAATATTACCTACAGTTGTTGAGGGGGATAGCAGTGGCTTCAGGAAACATTTCATTGGTTACTCAGTAATGAATAGCTAGGTTTAGAGAAGAAAGTGGGTAAGCAGTTATCCTAAAGTGGATATTGATGGCTGTCTAAATACTTTTATTGTAGTGGGGGCAAGTCCAATGGGACAAGGAGGAGAATTCTAAGACAGGACCTGCTCTATAGAAACTTTGGCTATGACCTGAGAGGGCATTATCAGTAAACAAAAAACAAAAGTTAGCATAACATTCAGTCAGATTAATCTATCACTGACCTTAGTATCTAGAGTTTTGCATGGTGGTTGTGTATTTGCACTTTGTACATTATAACTTTTTGTACTCTTTGCTGAGCAAGTCAGTAAAAGATAACTATTCATTGCTATTAGCTTCAGTCTGCTAATTGTGCTTCTATTTATTTTCATATTTAGGAGAAGAAGAAAGAGAGAAAATAAAACAAGCCATGCCCCAACTTTTCCATATTCTTCTGGTTTTTCATACCTTCTCTCTCTGGCTTTTATCCCATGGTATAATGAATCGCTTGGGAAGCAATTCACAGAGTAATTTTTTTTCTGTCAATCTGTTATGTGCTTTTTTTTTTTTTTTTTTTCCCCCTCCCCACCCCTACAGTGTTTTACTGACTTCAGAAGATGCTCTTTATCAAAACTGATCTAATGTTTTTTCACCATGATGTACACATTTTAAACATTAGAATGGGCAGTAACATATACCACATGCTCTTGTACAAGGCACATGCTGCATAGCCATGCACACTGTTGCATTGGGCAGTTACCTTACTATCTCAGTGTGCCTGAAAAAATGTCTGATGTTGATTCCGCAAACGTCCATCTGTAATAAGGAATTGCAAAATGCACTAACCTATAGCAACTGGGTTTCAGTTTTCTGTATTTTTATGATTGAAAATGGAGCAGGATAGGTCCCTGGGGTTTATCTATCTATGCTCATTGCCCTTTCTATTCCTTGTTAACCCCTGAAATCATTATTGGGCAAGTTAGACTATAGCTGTAGATGACCACTTCTGGGTTTGCACTCAGTCTTGAAGCCCATTGAGCATGTGTGCATTCCAGATATTTGATGCTTATGAGCTTTTCTTGATTCTGTATTCTGTTCTAGAGTGTGACATAGTCAAAACATACATTCAAGGGGTAGGTGGGGGTGTTTTTAAGCTTTCCATTGCTGAATTGTTATCATCCAAACAGACCAGCTGAAGCAATTAATCTGTCTTGCCATGTAAAGGAAAAATTTGATGAGACCCTTTTGAATTTAAGCATATTGCTGTAACCTGCTAACCTAGTTAATGGGACACATCCTCTTTATAGAAAGACTACAGAGAACTTGGTGCTCCCTCTACTGTGAATGGACTGATATCGGCTCAGTCGCCTGGCTGTGTGCAGGGTGACTGGCTTGTAGAATTTTCATAAAGTCTCCTGCTTACTGCCAAGTCTCATGTTTGCTCAATGATCGAGTTGCCATCCTAAGAAGGAACTAAGAGTTGTTAAGTGCTGGTTTAATCTTGGGACAGCCCATTCCTTGGCATCAATAATATCCTGGTATTATTCATTTTCCAGGATCATATGTTTAACACTGAAGATCTGAAGACACAGTCTCTGCTTTGTGTCCTCACTTTTTTTTTTTTTAATGTCAGAAATCCAATCCTTTTTAACCCCTTGCACAAAAGTATTGAAAGCTGTAATTAAATGTAAATTGCATTTAGGTAGATAAAAGTATGTTTTTGCTTTATGGGAGTGGAAGTATATTGTAAAATTTGTCTGCAGCTATAAACCTTGTCCCCTTATATCTAAAACCCCTTTTTTAGGAAAAAAAATAAAAAATATCCATCTTCATTTACATGAGTTGGACTTCTACTGCCTGGATTTCAATAACCAGTTCATGCACTATCCATCTCCTCTTCTAACTTGTCCAGTGTGTAGAAGATGAGCAGTAGGAGGTCTCAGAATTTGTGCAAGAGGTTGGATTAAAGTGTTACTCTTCCTTATTGCCCCACACCCAGTCTCTCTCCTTGCCCCTGCATGCTTTTAGGGATATGGCAAGCTGCTTTAGAAACAGTGCCAAGAATTACCTTGAGGATAAAAAGAAAATTCTATGTGAAAATGTATAACGTTTTCATAATAACTTTATTTTATAGTGCAGTGATTTTCTGATTGCTGATATAACTCTGACAGTGAGCACAGTGAAACTTTTTGATTGAAATATGAAAAAATATGGGTTAATTTGTACAAGTTCTTAAAAGTACTAAAATAAAAACTAAACATAACACAAAGATTGTGTGTTTTATTTGTTATTCGTATCAGATTGTTACACCATACATTGTATATACAGATGTAAAATAAAAGATCACAAGCCCTTATGCATGATTTGCTTTCAAGTGGAACTAGCAATATAAATTGCATATTACATAAATATTCAAGGGGGATATTATAAAATCGGATAATTTGAGTAAAAAGTACATATTTCTTTATTTCAAAAATGCTGCTCCCAATTTTTCTACATATGACTAGTGCATTTGTGCGTTTTTCATTGTGTGAAGGCATGTGAGTAGAAGCTAAAATGTCTTGTGATTGGTGGCAGCTCTACACTGTGGTCATTGATGTCAGCAAACGTTTCATTCTCTTTCACTGAATACTCTGACATCAGAATTCTGGTGCAACAGGTTCTGTGGCTTCAGACCAAGGGACAAGAAGCCAGAGTGGACCTTCTGTCTACAAGTCTAGTGTTGTAGATCTGCAGCACTTGGCAGTCTCAGCAATGCCTGTATATGTGACTAAAAGCCCACTACTGTGAAAAATATAATCTTCTGGTAACTGTGTGGGGTTAATACACATGATGGCATTTGGTATACAAATTCCCCCCCTTTTTT